GGGGCTGCTCCAGGGCCGTTTGCCCTCTGCAGCTGTTTGCTGGCAGGGGCCAGCTCTGGGTCCCTTTGCCTCCATGAGCTTGTCATGTGAGGAAGACCTTAGCAGATGTGAAGCAGAAGATGGGGAAGTATTGTCTTCAGCTGAGAAGCAGGTCCTTGGACAGTAAAGCTGAACATGGCTGGGGAAACCTTGGCTGAAGGCATCACTGTAACTTCCTAACTCCCTTGATCTCCTGTGAAAATTAGGCATTAACCTTCTATTTGTGCTTCTGAGAGTGACTTCCTTCAGGAAGCCCTGAACTAGCCCATGGCAAGGGTTAAAAGAACATGTAATTTATTTTTTTTATCAGACAAGTGCAAGTAAATCCTTGTTTTGGGAGATTTCACCCAAGTTCTCACTGAATGTCGATTAGTGGCACTGTAGCGCTGTTGACGGTTCTTCATCTGGTAACAGTGTGGGGGCTCCTGATGAAGCCAAACTTACTTAATGACCACAGTCATGAAAACAAGCTGCAGACAGATTTCACAGCTGTACTTAGTTTTAGCAATCGTATACAAGAGCAGTTAGTAATGTGTAAACAGAAGGACATATGAACGCCATGGGAAGTAGTAGCCCATAATGTTCCCAGAAAGTATCCATCCCCACTGAAAGTTTCCTCATGTAGCTACAAAAACACAACTTTTCTATTCCCATGATCATGCCATTAAACTCTCTGAGAGTGGGACTAAATTGTCCAGTGGTGACCTCTGCAAGACTGCTGAAGTAGTGTAACACCAGGTTGGTTTGATCCTGCTGGTGTGGGGCAACTGCAGTGTGGAAGATGCTCTGTTGGGATGGCATAATCAGAATGACCTGAGGAAAGGGCTGGAGATGCTTCACAGCCTCTGACGGGGAGCCAAGGCACTGTGGGGTAAGGCAGGCAGGGAGATGGACAATCTTCTGCGCCCACCATTGTCTCTTTTGTAAATTGATACCTGTATTGCTAACCCCTGTCATTCAAAAATCAGGACTTATACAAAATGGACTTAGTTCTAACTTGATTTTTGAGCTGAGAACATGTCTCGAGACTTCTTTCTCTGATGGGGAGTGATAGAGATACCGTTAACTTGGATATTCAAATAATGAAAGCTGAGACCTTTCACCCCCAGGAGTGGAGGTTTTAAGAAAAAAAGGGAGAAATTTGGAGTGACTTCTGTTAACTTCAAGGGCTCTGGCAATATTGTACCCCTGTGATCTCCATTAGATGTTACACATAATGCTACCTCCAGTCCTCAAGGCAAAATCTGTTCTGAATCATTAATACTTGCTAAAAAGTATATTAGAAATGGCCTACTACACTGCTTTGTGGTCAATGCAAGGTGAACAGCTACCCCTCCTCTATCAACACAGAAGCACTCGAGCAGATATGTGGTTGTATGATAGGAGGTGTCCACATAGGAGAGAATCAACCTGTATGCTGATCATAAACCTGAGGAGAGGTAGGGATGCACCAACCTGTTACAAGTTCTTTGCAGCTGGAATGGATGATGGGGAGAATTCAGCAAAAGCATGTCTCATCTTATGCCATGGGCTCATCTGATTCCTAACAGCTCTAAAATAGGAAAGGCAGAAGAGACCAATGTTAATAGTCCATGCGTGAATCCAACCTCAAACATGCGACAGCCCAGATCTTCCAAAACCAGTTTTGTTAGGAATTAGGTTACATCAACAAAAAATAGCTCAGAAATCATGAAGTCCCATAAAAGAAATACAGAATTTTTATTAGCTGTCTTTTGAGGACATACATTGTCAAGATTTCAAGCTCTACTAAAACATATAGAGAGACTGAAAACTGCTCAAAATAAACAACTAAAGCAAAAAATGCCCCCATTCTCCTTTCTTAGGTAACCATTTGTTTCCAGAAGTTGGAGATTTAAATATAGCATCAACTACTGTGAGAAACCTGATGCAATTGCAAGATTTGGCAATGCAGAGGATACAAAGTTTTGAACAATGTGAAACTATGAAGATTAAACACTAGATGGAGTAGTTGGACTAGAATGAAACTGAGATTTGTAAAGCAACACTAGTAACAGAGCCACTGTAAATATTTTGAAATGAGGGGCTTAGTAGCAAGGCACAACATATGAGAGTGTGTTTCTCCAGAAGCGCCAGTTCAGGGAGTTGGATGTATGCTGCTGGATTCTTGCTCTGAAAACAGTCACCAGAAGGGTTCTCTCTCCACCTTCTTTGCTGTGAGGTCCTGAAGCCTCAGTGCAAAGAGGTGATTGGGTTGGCTCTGCACGTTGCTGAGCCGCAGGCATCCCTCAAATAAACAGAAAAACAGCTTCACACGCTGTGGGAAGCTGTTCTGCTTATCTCAGGTGTAAAAAAGGAGGTGATTCTCTCCATGAGCTCCTTCCTCCCTGTCTTCTCTTTTTTCCTTTTTCCCAGTCTCTTAGGTTGCGGTGGTACTTTGGGAGGCATTGATGCTCCTGCTGCCTTAAGCATGTCTTGTGCCCACTCTGCAGCTTGTCTCTTCATTCCCAGGCCCGGCATCATTCCCTCCATTTTGTGTGCGCTACTGTTTGTGCAGCTGCTCCCTGAGCCAGGTTGGAGAGCTGGTACAGCGGAAAAGCCATCTTGCCCCGCCCCACCCAAAAAAAAAAAAGGATATAGTTGAGGTACCTGTCTGATCTCTCAAACAGCTCTGCTATCTCCAGGGCACGGATGCTGAGGCAGGGATGAACGCTTGTCCGTGGGGAAGGAAGCAGGAGATAACAGCCACCAAAGAGAGGGCCACGTTATCACAGCCTCTGCAAGATGTAGAAAGCCCAGGCAGGACCCGGGACCCCATTATCTGGTGAAACTACACAGAGACAGAATTCAACACCCCGACACACCAGTGCAAGGGGAAAGTAAAGCAGCACCTCAGGGTGCCTGCCCCGAGCCTTTGACACGGGGAGGTTTTCCACCCACTTTTTTTGAGGGGCTCTGCGGAGCAGCCGGACGGCCCTGGGCTCCGGGTGCCGGCCCCACGTTGCTGCACTGCTCTCCGCAGCGCGGCCGCGGCAAAGGGGCCGGCAAGGCCCCTGCGCTTGCTCTCTGTCAAAAGCTGCCCAGCCCCGAGTCCTCCGAACTTCCAGCTCCGGGCCGCCCCACCTCCCAGCGCCTCACCAAGCGGAGGGTACAATGTGTGGTCTGTTTGCGAAACGGGGCTTCGGAGGCCTAAAACAAATTGTCCTCAGGGCCCAGGACAGCGGCGGCCATTCTCTCCCCCAGACGGCCCTGTGAGGATGGTGGATCTCAAGAGCAGCAGTTGGTGAATGCGCTTTTGACCTTTTCAACTTATTGTATTGGTATCTAGCCAAACAATTTAAGTTCATCTGTAGCGTGTGACACTCAGGAAACAGAGGAATGACATGCATGCTGTTTCCTACCAAGTAATAAACTGCCTTTTGTGATGGAGTGAATGAGGCCTTTGCCGCTGATGGCCAGATGCCCCCATGCACTATGCAAGCACTGAGAGGAGCAAAGAAAACCTTAAAGGGCTTGAGAAGCTCAAACTAGAGGGAGGTGCAGAAAAAAAAGCTTCCCTCTTTCTTCCCTGTAGGTTACAAGTAGATCCTCGCAGCATTTCTTCATGGATGAAATCCTGACTCCACTGCAGCAAGGGGTTTGACACTGACAGCAGCAGGGCCGTCATTTCAACCCATGTAGTTTGGGGTCTTCTTAAGCCTGAAAGCAGCAAAACAAAAGCTTCTCCAAGGCTGCTGAGCACCATGTGTCAGCTCCTCTGACTCTTCTGTGGCTGATCTTCAGGACCAAATTTCCTCCAGGTGTTTGTCTATTTGTCCCAGGGGACAGAAGCCCAGACCTGTCTTGGCATGCTTTGGTCATGGGTTCAGTGTGAGCCTGACAGGAAGGTTGGGTGGTAAAGTCAGCATCAGCTGAAATCTGCTTAAAAAGTTTTTCTAAAAAACAATACACCCTAGTATTTTTATATTCAAATTACAGTGCTCAGGAAAACATTTGAGTTCAGCTAAACTGAGGTAGATTTCCCTGGACTTGTGTTTAAATGACTGGAAAAATAGGATTTTTAGCTACTTGTTGAGTAGTGGTGAGGCGGAATTTGAATTTCTATGCTAAGGAAAAGACTTTGCTGTGAGAGTTATCACACTCTGAAGGAGTTGCCCAGAGAGGTTGTAGAGTCTCCATCTGTGTTGATACTCAAAACTCAACTGAACATGGTCCTGAGCAATCAGCTCCAGTGGACCCTGCCTGAGCTGGCTTCTTGCACTAGATGATCTCTAGAGGCCCTGGCCAACCTCAGCAGCTTTGCGACTCTGTGATTTTGTGATTCTGTGGTTTAAAACACCCATGCTTTTATTTGCACAAACCTGGGCTGCCTTTTTGGTGCAGTTCTATATTTCCCATTGGATCTCTGCCCAGCACCTGCTCACAGCCCTGGAAAATGTGCAGGTGGCTTTGCAGGTGACTGTGCAGTGGGTTGGCAGAAACTTATCTCACAGGGTGCCCAGCTGCTTGCTTTTCCAACCTCCTTTCAAGATACTCATAAATACAGCATTCACTTTCTCATGAGAGGGTTCTCTACAGGTGGAACACCTACTTTCCATGTTGATCCTGGGGAAATGTTCTTGTCCACACAGACAAGCTCCCAGTATGTACTTGTGGCACTAGAGGCACCATTTACAACACAAAGCCTGTTTACAGCTTGTATCCTGATTCTACCTTTTCCAAAGGTTTATGTAGTGCATAGTCTTTGTGTTGGTGCTCTGCACAAGGACAAATCCCGCACCCTTCTCATTCTTCCTTTTTGTCTCTCTCCCTGTTGTGAAAGTCCTCAGTCCAGTGGCCACCAGAGGCAAGTCTCTACTTTTGATTTTGAGTTATTTGGATTGTATAGTATGGGTTGTTGACTGACACATGAATTTTAGCTAGTCTTTATGTCATGCTTCTTCCCCCAAGACCTGTGGGACCAAAAGCTCTCTTTCTGATAGGAAAAAGGTATAAACCTGACCCACATTGAGTCCCGACCTTCCCGTCTCAACAAAGATGAGTATGAATTCTTCATTAATTTGGAAGGCAAGAACGTTCCAGCACTGGACAAGATCATCAAATCCTTGAGAAATGATATTGGAGCAACGGTCCATGAACTTTCACGAACAAAGAAGAAGGACACTGGTAAGGATACACTGACAAGCATAACATTGATAAGAAATACAGAGGTCACATGCTTAAATGACTTTTTTTCTTGTAGCAAAGGAGTTCCTCTTGGATCTGTATGGCTGCATTTCCCTCCCTCTGCCTATTTTGCCTATGTTGTAAGCTTTTTCATCTGGAGATTTTCTCTCAGTGTGAACTGCCATGCTCCATGTTTTGCCATATTTCTGACTAGGTCTCCTGGGAACTGATGTTATGTTGTGTTGTCGTCTGTCTAACTGATTGGCAGCACTCAGTCTCTTAAAGACAGCTTTGTTGCAGTAGCTTTTTACACTCCCTGCAGAAGTTAATAGGGATCAAAGGATGGTTGGAGTTACAGGCTAAGGGCTCAACTTGTAAATCCCTAAGCCATGCTGCAGAAAGTTGTAGGTACATCTATTTTCTGCTGCTGGTCTTTGCCCTATTTTAAAATAGGCAGCATTTATATACACAGTTTTTGGCAAGTCATGCAGGGTGGCAACTTTTGTTCTTGATAAACACCTGTAATGTGAAGGAATAACAGGGGTGCAGGTGGGACCCATACCACCATGTTAAATGCAGAGAGGTTAGCTTATCAAGCCCGATGATATGTCCCCTGACTACCATCCCATAGCCTTTGGACCGCTGAGCACTGAAAGCCACTGCAGGGCTTGTACACTTTTAGCCTTTTCCTATGTTGCCTGTCCACACGAGAACTTAGACGAAGAGATCTTGGTGTGGGATGCACTACATCTGTCTAGTTACTGTCTGCCCTGATTCAAAAAGCCCACATAAACTCAATCAATCACAGTTATAAAGGGCAAACAGTACCAGAAAAATCTGCAGCTGCAAGCATGGGCTTGGCTTGCAGATGGTAGATCAATTCCCCTGAGAAAACCAGGTCCCCCACTCCCTGCTCTCCCTCACACAGGTACATGTCAGTCCAACACCATCCTTCTGTCTCTCCCCTTTTTGGATGCTCCTCACTCCTGCTGTTGAAACTAGGGAGGCTCTACCACCCACTTTGATGGGAGCAGGAATAGCTCTTCATTCCTCTAAGAAATCCCAGGGAGGTCAGTTGTAATTCTTCAGAGAGAAATGAGGAAAGATTTTGTGAGTTGTCTATGCTCCTAATTCTCAGAGATTTGCTGGAGTTGAGGCTGCTCGGTACAGTGGTGGCTACCCAGCATCCAGTCCGAGACATACTTAAATGCCTCTTCAGATAACAGATGTGATTTTAATAGGATTTCAGACTTTAAATACTTTAGGTCTGGATCTTCCTCTTCCTTCCTAGGAACAACATGAAAAGACATTAATACCTTCTTGAGATCAATGTTGGTAATCCTTTTACCGTTTCCTTTGTGTCCTACCCATGACATTACATTTGGAGATGAAAAAGTAGGCGGCAGATACTCTTTGGAGTCAGTTCTCTCCATTCATGAGATGAAGGGACAAAAGGTTGATTAGGCAATTTATGATCACATCAAATCAAAGAGGTTCTCTTTTGGGGGCTTTCTTATGTCCAGAAGAAAGCTACAGGGCCTAGCAGGGCTTGCCATTACTTTTGTTTTTCTAATTATTATTAAGAAGTTAATAATAAACTTCATTAAAAAATATAGTTGTGAATAGCATAAGGCAGAGTCAGATAGAGATACAGCTCTAAATATCAGCCAAGGAAGGCTTGTGAGTGAAATTCTGACCTCACAGAAATCAAGACTGCTGTGGTCGGCTGTAGGATTAGGAATTCACTGCATGTTACTGTGTTGATCAAAGGTTTTTTGAGCTAGATTATCCTGTCAGTGCTGCAGAAATGGACTTGATCCCCTTCTGTCTGAGAGGATAACTTGTGTTTGTTTGTTAGTTTCAGAAATTCAGAAACAGTACAAAGTGGGAGCAATTTATCGCCAAGGAAAGAGGAAGATTGATATTTCTTTTTGCCCTTTCCCTTTTTCTTTTCTTTTTTTTTTTTTTCAATTTCAACTTGTCTCATGAGTAGTAAGGGTCCAGTGAAACTGAAATCCCCAAAGAGCCGTATTTTAAAAGGTCAAACAAGCCCTGCTTAGGGGCTGAACTGTGGGTGGCAAATTCTGGGCTGAGGCAGCTACAAAGGCAGAAGGAGATGGGAGCAGCCTGAGCTGTAGGAAGTGTAGTAAGATACTGTCCTTTATCAGCGATGGCATTAACAAATAACAGGCCTCATGGAGCCTTTTAGGTCATCTTGCCTTTCAAATGTATCTTCCTGGTAAATCTGGTCATAATCCACAGATGCACTTGTGTGAAATTTTATCCCTAAAATACAGAATGACAACAATATGCCCCCAGGGAACAAAATCTCAGAAATACGGTTTATGGGGATATTGCCACATTTTTCTCAGTGGGCAGGTAAAGGCTGGGAAGGTTTCCTCCTGGAGGTAGTCCGGGGGCCCTGGGACCGATTTTTTTACTGCTGTCTAAAGATGCTCTCAACCTTTCCTTGCTAAGGATTCATTTTGCTCGTGCTCATGATCTGAGGAAAAAAAATCCTATTTTACTCAGTTTCCTGTAGGAAGTATACAGTGCCATTCTTGGGGCACTGCTTTGTGGACAGTCGGAGGAAATTTTGGTATTCTGCCCCTCCTGTATAGTTCAGTGTTAAACACATGTCTGTGTGCTTTATTGGGCAAGGGATAAAAGAATGTCTTTTTCTTTTTATTTTTTTGTCTAGTCACTTTAACTGCTTTTAGGGGCTTTTCTCAATTAAATGCAAAATATAATTTTGGTTTCCCTTTGGTACACCCAAAGAGTTACAAATACCAGATTTGGATCAACAGTGTAATTTTAGCTGAGAGCAGGCCAGTAAAAAGCTCTAAATCCAAAGGTAGTTTTAGAGCGTTAGACAAGATGGGCTAGCAGTCACTGGGCCAAAAGCCCTTGCAGAGATGGAAAGATTTGTCGTGAAAACACAGCGCATCTCTTCATGGCTCTTTTGGGAAACAATTTGGGTATCTGCAGTCCACTTTGAGCCCATGAATAAAAAGAATTAAATATTATTCTGTTGCAGCATTAGGGAAATGCAGACAATTTATTCATTTCTGAGACAGACTGGGAGCTGAAGTTCTTTAGGGGCCTTGTTTGCTAAACCCTGAGGCTGGCCAAAGCATTTGGGACTGTTTAAAAAAGGGCTAAACCTGGGCCTCGAACTGCTATAAATTGTGTAGACCTGTCTTTGACCCTCCTCACAATGGTCCAAATGGAGGAGTTCTGCAGAAGTCCTTGCTGCCCCTGCTTTGCTGCCTCTCATATAAATGGCTTATTAGCATTCTGCTAAGCATTTGACCCCATGGTAATTTGGTCACCACTTGGGTGTCCAGCACGATCCCATAAATGCTGCTGTTTCACTTACAGACAAATCAATATTTATTACTGATCAGCCCACGTTTGCTCCTCAGACACTCACAGAGGCCCAGTGTTGCAACAGCTTGTCCTGGCAATTCATTAATGGCCGTGCAGACAGACAGCGAGTCTGGTGAGCGGGCTGGAGGAGGATGTTGCAAACAAAATATGGGATAGATTCAGCCAGGGGGTAATTTGATTTGATCTTTTAAATAGTTGCTGGGAGGGCTGGAGACAGCCTCCTGGCACTGCACAGCTAGGCAGAAGACCCAGTAGCCCTTTTGCACCCTGGCCCTGATGCAAGGGCTGTATGGACTTGGTGCAGTGCCTGCGCTGGGGCTGTGCTCAGGACTTTTGATTCCCGTTTCCATGAGAGCTGGGAAGGCTCAGGACTTTCCAGGACCTGACTTCATATCAGCGATGCTGGTGCAAATGGCACTAAGCATCCTCACGATTTCCCTTTCACAGCCTGCCTCTTTCATCCATCTCTGTGAGCTCGGATCCACTCTCTCTTAGCTACTGCCAGTGGCTGGGGGCACCTGGGAGGAGGGCAGTGATCTGCTGAAAGTATGTCAGGTACCTATAGGGGCTGCATGCCTAGGAGATAAGGTACTGCTCCTGTGTAGGGTCAAAACAAGCCACCCATCTCCGTGCATGGGACATGCATCAGCCCAGCAGTCAGTCTGTCCCAGCGTTTATCATGAGCTCTGCACCAACTACTTCGGGGATCTTGAGAATAAAATGTATTTAATGAAAGTAAGTCACTATTATATATCCGTTTCATCCCTTCTTGAAGTGATGCAATGATTCAAACTCTGCCCACCTAGACCTTTCTGATTCAGGGCAGCAAAACTCTACAGTCATCATTGCTGAAATCCACTGCAGACTTCAGTTCCTACCAATTTGTCTACACAGCCCGGACCCTTCATGTCACGGTGCGTCCATGAGAATAGTGGTTATTCACTCTAACACTGACAAACCCGTTGCCGTGGAGCTGCCAGACAGCTTTTTTTCCAGTGTCTAATCCCAAAACATTTATCAGTGTGCCCCACTCCAGGCTGATAGTGGGGAGTCTGAAGCACAGAACAGTGAAGGGATTCCCCCACCATCACACAAAGCTCAGTGGCAGAGCTAGGAGATGAACCAGGTGCCTGGCTACCCATGTAGAAGATAGAGGCAGGACGGCTGGGTGTGCTCAGCCTCACATTGTGTAAGTGCGTAGTGACTCCTCTCTAGGACTCAAACACACCTTTTTTTGCTCACCCCCTCTGACTAGTTTAAATCAAGGGGTTGGCGGTGCAAGAAGGTTGCTAACAGCAAGATGAGAGGGTATTTCTGGAGAAACGAGAGCTAGCGGTACACCCAGCAAAGTCGTTTTGGGAAGATCTTCCTGGGACTGCTGCTGCCATCTAGTGACTTGTTCAGGTCTGGTTTTTAGGGGAAAGCAGAAGGGTGTGCAGCTTGGAAAGGTGGGGACCAAACCCCACTTCTTCTGGGTGGTAGAACGGGAGGCATAGCTGGAAGCACTGCCGAGCCGCCAGGCCGGGTCTCTGCAGCCTGGGGAGCCCGGGGATCCCTCCCCTGGCTGGCAGCCACCAGCCGCCTGCTCTCCCTGGCCTGCCTGAAACAAATCTGAGGGCCCCCCAGTGGGAGCATCGGATGGAGCCAGGCTGGTGGTGGGACGGTAGGTCAGGGTGAGTGACGATTCTGCGTGGGGCTGGGCTGCAGCCGCTCAAAGTGTGCCCTGTAAATCTGCTGTTGTTGCATCGGCCCTTCTGCGAAGGTGCCTTGCAGAAGCCCAGTGCCACAAGTGCCCTCTGTGTTGCAGAAAGCAAGGCTGAAGAGTCCTGGAGACAGAGTGATCCTCTTACCCTGTAGGTGGTCCATCAGGTCTGGGATGAGCCCCATCAGCAAGGCACTGCAGGGAGCTCATGCAGCAGCTGCTGGCTGGGGATCAGGTTCACCTGACACAAACCCCAAAATCAGACAGGGACGTATGGCTGAGTGGCAGTGCTCCCAGCTAAGCAGAGACACACACAGGGGAATGAGCTGTTTTCCAAGCACTGACTGAGCAAGCGACACCCATTTGTGCAAGAAGTCTCTAAATGAACTGCAAACATTTTATTGATAGACTGCTGAGACCCCCTCCCTGGGCTTGGACCAGCAAAACTTTGGGTGATACTAGCCTTGAGATACATGTTGCTGACTTGTACTCAGTGTGGGGTGCGTATGGGATATGATTGCATGACCTGAGCACAGGATACATCCTTAGATGGAGGTCTTGTGCCCTTTCCTTAGAATATGTACGGTGGAACTGGAAGTGGTGCAGAGAGAAGTGGTGCAGAGAGAAGTGATGAGGGTGCTCAAAGATGGCCCATGGTTTCTGTGCCTGAAATACGCAGGCAAAGTCTCAGCCAGGAAGATGGACGGTAGATGGAGGATCTGACAGGGAGCTGTAAAATCCTAGGTGGCTTGGAGAAGGTGGATAGCAGCAAATGATGTTTGTATGAATGAACTAATAAACATCAAATGCAATAATCAAGTTTAAAACAAAAGAGAGTAATTTCTCATATCTCATGTAAAGAAATGATAGAACTCAGTGCTGCAGAGTTTCCTGGAGACAGATGTGCACCTGGGCTTAAAGAGCAGTTTAGTTGTATTTGTGAGAAGTTAAATTCAGTCATGGCTGTAGCCTCTGACCCAGCCAGAAGGGAAGACAAAAAGAAAAGAGACAGGCAGCTAGGGTCAAAGGGCCAAAAATGTAAGAATGTGGCAGCAGAAGGGAAACCCAAGCAAGTCAAACCCAGCAGTACCAGAAGCTCCCAAGATGTGCCCAGCTGCCAGTGGTACCTAGTGGTGGTACCTACTGATGCACTTCCCAAAACGATGATGGAGCAAGGGAGGGGCAAGGGCCCATGGTTCCTGCACTCCCTCCATCGAGCTTCCCTTGTCTCAGTCTTGCAGAGGGCTGGGGTGGCCAGGCCCAGTGGTGGCTGACAAGGGGAACTTTGGCTTGGTGTGCAACTGGATCCTCCTAGAAGAGATGGAAGAGGGGGCTGTAGCCAGGTACCGCCACTGCACATGTGTGCCAAGCCTCTTGCCGTTGAGGGGACATATGGCAGGGGACTGCCTGGGCCACTGGGTGAACACACTCGAGGTTCCAGGAAGGAAGCCTGACCTGGGATGACTGCTCCATGTACCTCACGAGTTGCAAAAGGCCTCTCCTTGCAGTGCAATTGCCATGAAGACACTTGCCTTCCGCTTTACCCTATCTGAACATATCACATCTAGAAAGCCCTGTGATTCTTCCTTGCCCTCCACCTTATGTCCTTCTGTAAGGGGAGGGCCACATGGGTATTACATGCTGTGTAGCCAGTGTGGTCCCATTTCATATCCTTGCTGCACCATTCACAGTGTGTATAGTATGCGAGTTACAAGGCAATAGACAACCAGGCCCAGGCTGTTAATTAAATTAATGTATTATTATATAATGACTGCAGTAACACAATGCTAGTCTGAGATATTATGGTGCCATTTATCATTTTATTTCAGCATCTTATCTTAAGTGTGGCCACCAAGTCGATCTCAGAGATTTTCAGAGTGTCAAATAATCCTGCAGCCTCCTTGTTGTGGGGTTTCTTGCTGTTCCTTTGAAATGGCTGATTCTAGCTATTGTGAAAGAAAGGTGTTGTGGTTTAACCCCAGCTGGCAACTAAGCACCAGACAGCCGCTTGCTCACTCCTCCCGCCATGGTGGGATGGGGAGCCGAATAAAAAAAAAAGTAAAACTCATGGGTTGAGATAAAGACAGTTTAAAAGAATGGCAAGGGAGGAGAGAATAGTAATAGTAATAAGAATGATAAAAGGATATACAAAATAAGTGATACACGATACAATTGCTCACCACCGGCTGACGGATGCCCAGCCAGTTCCCAAGCCATGGTCACCACCACCCTGTCAACTCCCCTCAGTTTATAAACTGAGCATGATGTTGTATGGTATGGAACATCCCTTTGGCCACTTTGGGTTAAATGTTCTGGCTATGTTCTCTCCTAGCTTCTTGTGTTACCTCCTCACTGGCAGAGCATGGGAAGCTGAAAAGTCCTTGACTTAGTATAAACACTACATAGCAACAACTAAAAACATCAGTATGTTATCAACATTATTCACATCCTAAATCCAAAACACGGCACTCTACCAGCCACTAGGAAGAAAGTTAACTTGATCCCAGCTGAAAGCAAGACAGAAAGATATTCTGGAAAAATTCCTACATTTTGGTAAACCGAGAGACCGGAATAATAAACAGAAAGTCATAAACATTACAAGCCAGCCCTGTGCCAAGGGCTAGACATTCCTGATGCTTTGTATTCTTCCAACAGTGCAAAACAGCCACAAATTCAAGACAACTTGCAGGGTTTGCTCTTGTCTCCTACTACAGGGAAAGGCCATTGCTGCCCAAGGGATTTAGTCCCTTGCATATGTTTCTTTATATTTATGATTAAAAGATCAGAAGAAGGGCCCAAACCAAGTAACAAAGAAACATACCAGTCTCTATTTCTTTTCTGTTTTGCAGTGCCATGGTTCCCAAGAAGTATCCAGGAGCTGGACAGGTTTGCCAATCAGATCCTAAGCTATGGAGCAGAATTGGATGCTGATCATCCTGTAAGAAATGGAGATTTATTTTTAGCATGTTTCTAGTTATTGGGACAAGTATTTCTCTCATTTAAGTTTGCTCTGTTTTAAGACAGATCTAGTAGGCTAAATCTCGCATGTTATAGGACAAGACGGGTACCACATTTCTAGAGTTAGAATTGTCCCAATCCCTGGCTATGAAGTAAATCAGACCAAAGGTTACTTTAATTTGAGCAAATACCAGGAGACCTTAAAAGTCATAATGGTCATCAGAGCACAGAGCCACCCCAAGCACACCTCTAGTTTTCCCAAGTGGCTCTGATGTGGTGACTTCAGGCTCGTTTTGTGAATCACTAGCAACAAAAACTTCAGAAGCAACATATCATAGCTCAGTGATAGGAAGACTGTTTTTTCATCCTTGATTATGTACACACAGTTGAGCTTAGTGCCTTGTTATGTGGTTGTTAAATCTGACATGATTCTTGTATGGTGAGACACAACAGAAGAAAAGGTCCTTGTTTCAAAGAGTTTGTGGTTTAAATGGTAGGGTCAGAAAGTTTTGTTCATTGGCTTAACTGATAAAAAAATTATTCAGTGGTTTTTCAGCTCTTCCAGATGCAAGAATACTTTCTGCCTCTATTCCCTTTCCAAGCAAACAACAACTTATTTTCATTTGTCAAAACACACTGAGTTCCATGCAGTGCAACAGAAATTGCTGCTATTAGTTTAATTGAGATAGGGTGATTATAAATAAATTACATGCAGTGCAACAAAAATTGCTGCTATTAGTTTAATTGAGATGGGGTGATTAGTCATTCACTACCTATTGCTTAATTCCAGACGTGTTATGTATCATGTACAATGATTCATGATGTTCAGTGTGGTCATATGAAAGGCAGAATGAAAGGAGATACAGAGTCAATGGCCCCCTTGTGTGTCATGCGGGAATAGACCAAGACTGTATTTGAAAAAAAGAAACAAACAAACAAAAGATATTAAAAGGAATTAAGCATCTCTGCTCCAGTTCCTAGAATTAGTTAGTGAGCAGTTTATGCCTTAAAAAGGAAACCCAGCTGCTGGGGTAAATAGGTGTGACAGTACATAGACTGCAGAAAAAGAGAAATTAAAGGAGCCTGTGTTTTTAGTAGTTAAGTGATATGGGATGTAATGACAAACACCTCTATGCCAGGTTAATCTTGGACAGCGCATTTTTTAGGCCATTGGCTACCTCTATTTGACTCACACTCTTAGATCTCCACTCTACTTCAGCTGCCTCCTGTACTTGGTTGTGTTTCGTGGCCCCTCAGTCCAGTTGTGCCATGCACCACTAAGAGATGCATTCGCGAACTGCTGCAGTGCCCAGTGAATTGTTGCTTTTGCCCTGAAGAAGTGTCCCCTAGCTTGGAAGGGTGTTTCTACCACTTTAGGTGGTGAAGACACCTCCTAGCCCTGAGGAACTTTTAGTCTAAATAACAGGCACACTGGGATAGGAGAATGGTTATCTTAGATGAAGATTTAGAGATTATTTTTCTTATCCCTGGTTTTATTGGTAATTAGCTGCAAATTCAAGCTCCTAACCACAAGGTCTATTAGACATTCTCTGTAGGAACTAAATCCTTTCAAATGGCTGAATTTGTAGTGCGAATAGGGCTTTTTGGCCTGCTAAGTGCCTACTGTTCTTCTAACAGTTTGAAAATGAGCACCTTTAAGCATGGTTCATACTGAAAATCTGCCTAAAAAGTTGGACTGACTTGATGAGTGTGTTTCTAATTTGGCTTAACTCTGCTCCTCTAGATCAGCCCAGCTGTGCCAGGAACTGCAAGAAGCACATGGTTATCTGAGTGCTGCTACTTCAGTGTATTGCTCTTGCAGGAGCACTTTGTTGGTGCTGTACAGGAGCATGTTTCCCTTTTTTGCAGCAAGTGGAAATGAGAAAATGAAAGGACTTGGGGGGTGAGAAGTGCTGGGAGGCTGTGGCTGAAAGGCTGCTCTGGTGACCCCGCAGACCAGGAAGGAGTGGTGCCCCATGTGAGCTGAGCAGGGTAGGATAGAGGCAGCTTCCCCACTCACCCTCTTGCACTTCTTGGACTGCACCAGCCATGCCTGAGGGTGCTCGATAAGACGAAGGCTGTTCACCACCTGCACTTACACAGGGAGTGACCATCTCTCTTTTTCCTTAGGGGTTCAAAGATCCTGTGTACCGGGCACGGAGGAAGGAGTTTGCCGATATCGCTTACAACTACAGACAGTGAGTGCTCAGTACGTGGGCAGAAAGCAAGCCCACATCTCCTGCCTTCTCCTAGGGCTCTCACCCTGCTGGCAATCCCTATTTTTCCATGATGTCCTCCTGCTGTTGGCTTTTCTCTGCCATGTGTTTAAGTCTTCCTGTTCATGCGTTTATCCCCAAATCACAGTAAAACAAAAGTAAATTGTTCCAGGCACACATTCAGAAGAGAACATTGCCTCCCTTCTTTCCCCACAACACCCCTCTTCCCTGGCTTTGTTGTCTAATTGAGCAGCAGACTCCATTGCTACTACAAAGACCTGAGCACTGAATAAAGCTGCTTCTGGTATCCTCTCCATTAAACCAGGACTGGGGGAGGAGTCCCTATCATTTACATTAAAGCAGGAGCTGCATACCCTATTAAAATAATGAATAACTTATGGTTCTGATGCTAATCCAGCGCCTGATACTCTACTTTTATCATGTCTGACCCAGCTGCAATCAGCAATTTGGGCTCTCATTTCCCAAGAAAAATAAATGAATAGAGATGATAAATTCAGTTAGAACAGGCTTGCTTGATTGCTTTCAGTGATCAAATCTGGAGGAGATAAAATTCTGTTCCCAGAGCCACTCACACATTTACATCAGTACTACTGGGTTTAATTCTTGCTGAGACTGGTAAAAATTGTGATTGCAAAGGATAAAGTAACATATGTTGTACATTTAGGGCTTCACTTTGCACAGGGCTGTGATGAAAAGATAGTCCCTGAGTCAAAGAGATAATAATCTAATCACAAAATGAGAGACAAAATTGGATTGATAGATGGAAAATGAAAAAAAGCCAGATGAAAAAAGTCAGGAGCCCAATGTATAGCTAGAAAATTTGGATAAGACTTCATGGCCAGATGTGGATGGATCTAATGTCCATTTACAGGTATTGCAGAGAAGATTTACCTTTTCTGCATAATGGATAGAAAATTCTGGTCTCTAGTTTGCAGGCTTTCACCAAATCCTACATAGAAATAAGAAACCACAACATGTTAACCCCCCACCACGATTCAAACTGAAACCATATTTAGCAGATGAAACCATTATATTCCAAAAGGTAACTAATTAATATGTAGTCTGTTATCCTGATCCTCAGACACATTGGAAACAGAGCCTATTACAGACTTGGTGCCCCAAAAGCACTTTTTATGTGAAGTTCTTGGACTTTCCAATGAGGTCTTTCAGGAACAGAGCAATAAATAGGGTGTGAAAGCCCATGTCCGGTCTTCTGGGGCTCGTGGAAAGAAGGCATGTGTTTTTTGTGACTTTAGGTGTTGATTCAGGAAGGCCCAGATGGATCTGTGATGTCTGTGCTCTGGCAGACATACCTTTCAGGTCTACAATAGGGAGGGGAAGACAGGGGCCTGTTTCCAGCATGGAGGGACAGAGTTGCAGAGAACCAGTTAGTAGGAGAGGGACAACCAAAGTTATCAGGAATCCTGGGAAGTATCTGGAAAGGCAAATGTGCTTAGCTTTTGAAGGTACTACCCAGCTACAAAGATGAGGTGGGTCTGTGGTTGCTTGTCTTGTACTCTTCTTCCTGCCATCAATTTCAGCCTCTTTTGTGTCTCTTCCTATTTTGTCCTCTTTCCTCCTGCTGTTTGCCTCTCTACTCTACCTTTGCTCTTTTGCCTTCTCTCCCGATACATTTAGCCATTGTTTTTGCTGAATGCTTAATTTCCCTGAACTCTCTTTTCTTTGCTTTTCACTTGCCTCTTCCCTCTGCCTTCCTTTGCTTCTGATCCTGCTGATCCCTGAAAATTTTTAATTGAAATTTGAAAGGTTTTTAAGCCACAGCTTCCCCCTGTAGTGCTGGAAGGTGGTTGAGGATTACTTAGGAAGTTCTATAGGAACAACAATCCCCCAAGAATTCTCATAATTCAACATGATGTTTAAAGCTCCACAGATCAAGGAAGGCTGATATGGAGAGACAGAAAATGATGGTTCTCCAGAGGAGCTGCCCTGAGGCTCAGGGGAAAAAATGAGGGAGTGGGAGATGGTGGGGTGTCATCAAGAATTTAACAATGGGTCTCTGGGGCTTGGAAAGCTCCAACATTATCCCAGCAGTGATGTTAACCCTATTAAGTTACTTAAAACCCTTTGATTTTTCAAAGCTGCTGGATTCACCTATGGCCCTATCATTATTGCTAAGGAATTGACTATTCACAGGAGGCCAAACTACATTGCTTGTGATTGTATTATTCCTGCTAGCTTCAACATGAGCTAAGCACATGGAGGCCTGAGGGTGGAATTTGATTCAAAATTACTCATTATAATTATGAAAAGTCAAACTGGCTGGAGTCTGCATCTGTTACAGCATAAAACACAGATCAGTATTTCTCTGTCTCTCCAAGAAATAGAGTTTTCTGCAGCTGATGATTTCCCTGCTGTAACCAAAATAATTAATGTTATATATATTAGAGAAAGAAATAAAACAGCTGCTCCATATCTGGAAATGCAAATAAATTGCAACCAACAGCTGGCAAATATTTTTAGAACATCTTGATAAGACAAATATACACTAATTTATTTTTACCACAATAGTGCAAGGAGTTTTCTAAAGGCCAGTATCTCAGCTGAGGTCAGTAGAGTCCTTCCCAGGCTGTGCATAGGGGCAAGTGAGGCTCCTTTTTCACCTGCATGTCAGACCAAAGTCATCTCCCCTCCTGCACTAGCAGCTCCTGGCCAGCCCACGTAAAGCTCCTGAGTATGATGCTGGTGGCATAAGACATTTTCTTTGTTGCTCCTATGGAAGGTATTAATTTTCTTTCCAGTGGCCAGCCTATTCCTCGAGTCACCTACACGGAAGAAGAAAAGAAAACATGGGGCACGGTCTTCAGGGAGCTGAAGAGTCTCTATCCAACTCATGCTTGTTATGAACACAACCACGTGTTCCCACTGCTGGAGAAATACTGTGGCTACCGGGAGGACAACATTCCCCAGCTTGAAGATATTTCAAAATTCTTGCAGAGTAAGTTTGAAGCATCTAAAAGAACCACATCAAATGAAAGGCCTCAGCTGTCAGTGGGGGTGGTGTTTCCAGAGATGGAAAAGCAGTCTCTGCTTTATCACAGTGTCCCTATGGTGCTTGGGCACATCTCTTAGCCTGTGTCTCAGGCTCCTCTCTAAAACTTCCAGGGGTACGATGGTACAGATGCTCAGATACTGTGACTGTATTACACATTGAGAGAAAATTTGCCAGTCTTTCACAATTAAACTCTGTTTAACATGAGGAGAGCAAAGAAAACAATTAACAAACTTTTTCCACTGTGAGGAGTCCGGATAAGGATAAATCAAACACACTAGCTGTTTTTAAGATGCCATTTTTTTGTCCCTTCAGCTTGCACTGGATTTCGCCTGCGTCCTGTTGCAGGCTTGCTCTCCTCTCGGGATTTCTTGGCTGGGCTGGCATTCCGAGTATTTCACTCTACACAGTATATTCGCCATGCATCCAAACCTATGTACACACCGGAGCCGTAAGTACTTTGGCACAGAAAGCATGTAAAGTTGCAGCAGACTAACAGCAGGGTCAGCCCAACTGCTAATAACCATGTGGGACTCTGGAGCACTCCTGGGAATGGAGCTAATGGAGAACAGCCAAGTGACTTCTCTCTTCTGAAAACATTTTCTGAAGATTTCTAGTCTTTTTAACAAGCTGCATCCTCTTCTGCAAGTTCCTGTGGGACTGATCAGACATTTTTGCTACCAAAAACATGCTTGTGTGGTGGCTGGGATGCAAGAGAGCAGTGTACAAAGGCATTCAGCTTAGCTATTAACACCCAAACAGTGGTGTGAAATCTAGCGCAGGAATGACTCAACATGTTGCAAGCAAGTTTCTGGCAGCAAGATAGAGGAAGCCCAGATCATTGATCCTTTCTCTTTTTCAGTTTTACGCTGTAATGTTTCTCTCTGTCCCTGTTCATTGTCCTTTTCCACTTGTTGTTTTCAAAACAGTTTTCTTCCCCTGCTTTGTATTTTTGCCATTTTTCCTCCCCTCTGTTACCATTTCTTTGTTTCCTACTTCTTCCCACAACCTCCTTTTCCTCTTCATTTTTCTGTCCCTCATTCTTCTGATTTTCCTCCCTGCTTCTGCTCACCTCATTCTCATCCTGCACAAAGCCAGAAATGTCTTCCACAGACCTGGCCCTCCTGGGAGCATCTTATTCCTCTCCCCTTTCCATCTCACCAAATCGTTTCTCTGTCCTTGAAAAATCTAAGTCTGTACATGAGTCCTTCCCCAGCAATGCCTGTCCAGCTGCCAACTTCAACTTGTGATGAAAACAGTCCTATCTGAGGAAGGGTGAACTTCCACATCTTAGTGGGAGGCTGTGGGCCTGAACAGGGACTGGAGTTGAGCTCTTGAGGTATATGTTGACATTTTGGTGTCTTAATAGTCTGAGCTTCATCTATAGAAGTTTCTTGTCCTTGAGACTAAAAAGTCCATGTTCTGTTTGGTGGGTTGATTTCTTTCTGGGCTTTTCTGAGCTGGGTGGGCAATTGAATGGATGGTTTTCTTCCACAAAGAAAAACAAATAATATACCATCCTTCCTCTGAGGGATGTACGGTGATAAAAGCACTGAAACCCCTGGAGTGTGCAAGCGTTTCCATCACAAGAATGATTTCAGAGCAAAACATTTTCCCCTGAGGCCTGAGCATTATTTGCTGGTGGGAGCAAATGCACTGCACTCCTGACTATGTGCAGACTCTAGGGCATTCATCCAGCATTGCTGGACTTTTCCTAAATTAAAGTTATTGAAATGTCATGTTTTCCTGCAGTGATATTTGCCATGAGCTTCTAGGACATGTGCCTCTTTTTGCTGATCCCAGTTTTGCTCAGTTTTCCCAGGTAAGTTGCTTAGTGGTTTTACTATTTTTATAATTGAACACACCAGAGACTAGGTAACTCAGAGGATGAACCAAGAGCTATGAGGTGTTGGGTATTTGTTAGCATATTGTTTAAGAGTGGCTGAGGCTGATTTATTTATTGCTTGAAATCTTGAGACAAATCACTTAGGTGAACTCATACACCTAGACTCCAAACCTTTGTCTTGTGTGAGCTGTTTTTTTACAGGCAAACCCTTTACAAAGCCATCATCTAAACTCCTTTTTGTTGATGTTGATCCTTCTGAGCAAAGTTAAATGGCTCATGAGTCAGATGAATAATTGCCCCACCCTGCAGTTCAAATGTTAGGGAAAGTGAGGATATTTTTTTGTTTGTTTTCTATTGAAGCCACAGAGGAGGCTGAGTAAAGTGGAGAACTGTCACAGCTGTAAGCATGGGAGAAGGCTGGAGAGGAGCTTTCTCTTTGGTAATGTTAATGTCGCTGGAAAAGAAGCCAAACCTTGGAGGAGTAAATGTTTTGCTGCATTTTAACAGAAAACATGAAAAGGCAGAAAGAGGGAAAGTCAGAAAGACAGAAAGAGAGATAGAGAGATGGAAGGGAGGGAGGGAGGGAG